AAAACATTGTGATCAATGATTCTAATAAAAGTATTCTCCAACAAGATATCAAAGACATGATCACAAAAAGCAAAGTCAAAGGTGTACTTTGATTTCTTCGGCCGATTCTTTTGTGGAGTCAGCCTTAAAGCTAGGCAAACAAAAGGATCAGATTTAATATCAATCCATTCCGCCACACCTTTGCAATTACTTTTGGGAAGCCTGAACTTCGACGAACTACTACTATCGGCCTTGCCATATGGCACAATGTGTTGGCCGATAGAATCTAAATTTATTTTATCATCAACAAATATAATGTCGTTCTCAATCGATCTTTTACAACTACTAGCAAGGATATCACCAATAGATGCAGAAATTGAAATAGTACAACCAGATTAGAATTTGAGCAAAATATTTGTATTTTGTACCTTGTTGATCATGTTGGAGAAGTGTATGCCCTTGATTTGAATGATGTTGTTCTTCATCTCCAGAAAACAATCAACAACAGGGGCTAAATTATCTAAAGATGCATCGATAGCTGCTGGAACAAGCAAAGTCGGTCTGGCTGATCCAAACCCGACCTGGCCAGCCTTTGAACCTAGCCTAGATGCAATCCCAGCCTGGCCGACTTCCACCCCGGCCTAGCCGACTTCTGCAGGAAGGGGGAAAGTTGGCCTAGCCGACTTTATGTCGGCCTAGCCGATATTTTCTGAGTCAGCAAAGTCTCCTCCTCTTTTGCTTGTAGGAATTTGATCTCCATCAATGATGTGGTAATCGCTAGATAAGTATGCAACCCCTTTGGCTCCTAAAAAATCAAGTCTAGCTAGTTTCTTGCGCTTCCCATATTTTCTATAGCAAGACTTGTTTCTTGAGGTGGAATCTATTTAGAATGGATATTATTTTGTTCGGTCTTGTCCATCGAACATTCGCTTATATCCGAATCAACTCTTTCTTTGACATCTGTATCAACCAACAATGCTCTCTTCTTGCAGAATTCTGAGTCAATGCTTTCTCTTCTTGCAAAATTCTGAGTCTAATTTCGTCAGTGTCTGGATACCATTGACCTTCCAGACACTTTTCAAAAAAGTATTTATAAAACTTTTTACTCCGAGCAAGATAAACATCGTTGGTTCTAGTACAAGCAAACTGCCACTTAATACTTCTAGGTTCATATAGCAATGAAGCATAATCTTTGTTGAATTATTGACATTGAGAAGGGGGTAAATTGTATGCTTCACCGCTGGTTGATGGCACCTGTATGCTTGCTATAATTTCACTAATTCGGCTATGGTCATGAGTTAAATACAAAGCCGAATTGTGAGGATTAACTCCTGCATATGGTGCTGAATTTTTATTGGTTCGGCTATGGTTACTAGTAACACGTGAAGTGAATCATGAGAATTAGCATTTGCATATGATGCTGAATGTTTAGGTAAAACCTAAGGTTTTAAATAGCTCGCTATAGCTTTTCAGAGGATCTGCCGCTACGCTATTGCCAATTGTTCCGCTATTGCCACTAATGACATTTTAGCTTCGCTAAACACCGCTATTTGGTTTAGCCGCGATATATGTTTAGCTCTCGCTAATCCTGACCAAGGTAGATATTCATTCTTTAGTCTAGAGGACTATAATCTATTTCTCTCCTTTTAGTTTCTTTACTTAATAAATGATATAATAAACCATTGAATAATTATTGAACTGTTGAATAATGATTGTTGATTGCAATAAGTATGTTGATAGATACAATGAATGTTAAGTAATTGACATGGAAACATATTCTCCAAGATATTCTACATGTATTTGAGTATTTGTGTTCATATTTTTTCTAGTTAAATGTTTCAGTACATAATTCATTAAGAATTTTGATGTTTTTCTATAAAACCGCTAACTGAATAGCTTCCGCTATAGCCCGCTATAGCTTTCTATAACTTTTGGAGAAGGTGGCCGCTAAATATTATAGCCCGCTATTTAAAACATTAAAACCTTTGATCTATTACTATATCGTGCACCATATGAAGTTTGAGAGTAATTGGCTGAATAATTAGCATCACTATAGCTAATTTTCTCATTCATCGGCATGTCTTGTGGTGTAACCACATATTGCGAACTTATAGCCGATGAATATGGATGTGCATGTTGTATGTTGCTAGTAGCATTAAAACCTAAAGAATTCATAGTTGACATCGGCTCTTGAATATTGTATCTAGTATTATGATGTATGTGATGAAGACCATTATCAACGTAATAATTAGCCGATGCAACGGATCTACTATAATTGTGACTAGCAACATCAACATGAGAATTCACAGTACTTGTAAAATAATTATTAGGATCATAAGATGCATTTGCATGTTGTACCTCGGGGTGATTATAGTAGTATTGAGATGAAATACCTTGGTACTCCATGATTTAGAACTTAACCACCTTGCTGATTTTTATAGTAGCACGTTGCAGAACACCAAGCAAGATCACAAGAGATCAAAACTAGATGCAATCGCCCTTTTGGGCCAGATGCAATGGTAATGGCGAGCACAAGAAAATAAATTGGTGAATAGCAAGGCTAGGACAAAAAGATTCGGCTACAAAATAGAGCCAAAGCAATTCATCCCAGGATACACGGGCGCGGGCACTGTAGCCGGCCTGGTACAGATAACCCGGCCTAGCCGGCTTCGGGAACCCGGCCTGGCCACCATCGGAAACCCACCCTAGCTGACTAGGGTACCTGGCCTAGCCAACTTTCACGATCGGTGAAGACTATGGCTAGGGTAAAAAGATTCGGCCACACAGTAGAGCCGAAGCAATTCTTCCCCAGCGAAGTCGTCAAAAAGTGTGTTGATGCCGGATTGATCCCGGATCACATCCTAGCCAGGGCTATATCACCCGGGTCACCATGGACCGAAGAAAGCAACAAAGATCACACTTACGTGGTGAAGAACGGCGAGGTTTACGAGCAAACCAACAAAGGATAACTATCGCACTTACGTGATGAAGAACGGCTAGTTTCTAGGCAAACTAGCAAAAGAACCGTCGAAGCTCTCGCCCAGGAAGGACTCCGTCGAGGCAAGGACATCGTCGGGTTGCTCTAGGTCGGCCGGCGAGTCTAGGGTGCCATCCTTGGTCATCGGATCAAGGGATGAACATTAGCATGAGGTTGGAAGCGGACATAAAGGAGTTGTAGATATAAAAACGACGATTGGTTGTTGGATGTTACTCAATCACCGTGTGATCCTCTAGTATATATAGAAGGGGTGGTCTTATCCCAGTAGAAAACAACTCTAAGACGCATTTTGCAAGTTTCCCACATCAAAAACCAATTTGAAAACAAATCGTCAAAGTCGGCCTAGCCGGGATTGTAACCCGGCCTGGTCGGTTTTCACGGGGGGAGGCCGACCCTGGCACAGGAAACCCAGCCTGGCCGGGGCTTTTGCGACATGGCACCACCATCTGCTTTTGCTAGGGACACTTTTGCGTGTCAACAAAAGATAAATAAAAACCAAATGAGCACTCGCGAACAGTGGTGAGCAGTGGCATGAACAGCGCCTCTCTGAGTGACCTCGATTTTATTCACGCATGAGGGAGTGTATCTTATTTGTGGAGTTCAGTTGGAGATAACCTTGCCATGCTTTCTGGTCCTCTTAGTGATCTGAGGCGTTGGTAGTTTTAGGGTCTGTTTGGTTCCACGAACTAAACTAAAATGTGGACTAAAATGCCTACTTTTAGTCCCTAAAATGTCAAACACATGGACTAAAATTTAGACTAAAGGGTTTAGTCCTCTAGTCCATGAAGGGGTGACTAAACTGGACTAAAGTGTTCTGGAGACACTCCTGCCCCTCGTTACTCCCCATCCCACTGGTCCCCAAGCCTATCCACAGGGGTAATATTGTCTTTATAGAACTGCATTAATGGACTTTAGTCCCTGGAACCAAACAGAGTCCGGACTAAACTTTAGTCCAGAGACTAAACTTTAGTCCGCGGACTAAAGGAACCAAATAGGCCCTTAGTTCTTCTGTGTTGCTTAAACTTGGTTTCTTTGTAATATCATTGCTGCGGTATTTAAATTCGGTTTCGTCGTCGTGGATAAAAACTAAGCTCTAATTCACATTCATGTTTAGATTTATGATTCGGGTCATCTTGACCATTTGTCAAATATAAATTCTCCGTTCTGCTAGTCTATATGTTTTTATAGTTATCGTCATGCTAAAATAAGTTTGTTTTTTTTATATCCTAACTTCTTAAGAAGATCTTTTGTACCTTAAACAAAGGTCCTTTGATATTTGTAAGATTTATTAATCTATATTTATATCTTAATTTTGAAGGACAAAAATTCTCTCCTACTTTTTCGTCCGTGAACCTATCCCACCACACCTCACTCTCCCCCGCATGCATCTCACTCTTGGTGTCCACACGTTTTCAATCAAAAGTCCAACATAAGACCACGTTTTCAATCCAAAACTAGCACAATTCAAATCCAACCACGAGATCACGTTTCATACACATGTGTCTCTAGCAACAGTAGAAAGTCCGATTTCAAGACATTAGAATACGTGACGTGATCATTGTAAGCCGCACGTCGTCTGGACGAACGCGCGACAAGTTGTGAGCTCATATAACTTCTAACAGCACCACCAATGTCATACACGATACAGCACACATGGAACGGGGCGTTCGGTTGTCAGTCGATTGCTTGCTTATTCGCTTGCTCCGGTTCGGTAGAGACGGTGACAGGGAACACACAAATAAGGTAGATAAGTTTTATTGTGTCATTCCTCAATCATCGTCATCGACTTTCAGCTATGTCCAATGACGACATCCTGTCTCACCATATCACTCATTTGATATATAAAATGTTGTTCTTCAACACAAGTACACCACCCATAAAATATATTGAGCAATCGATTCTCGCTTTTCATCTGTTTTTCATGACTAAAGTGGTTGTCTATGACTACTATGTGACCCACCATCGATCTGAATGATTCAATGTTCCTGTAACTAAAAAACAGAAGAAAAAAGACTAATTCCTATCATACTGCTCTGGACTCTGGTGCGGCCATGAAGGGTTTGAATGTGAGGATAAGTCCAAGAAACTCGATGACATTCAGAAGAAAGAACACCATCTGATCACCTGTGTATATGGAATAAGACGAAGGTTTATACAGCAGTAAAATCTTGCATTACCTCTAGTACATGGAAACTCAATTAGTTAAGTAGCTAAGAAGTGAATTTTGCCATATATGTTCAGTCCCTACAAAAATGTCCAATTCAGATGCAATAAAATGGGGGAAACATTTATTAATCTATATTTATATCTTAATTTTGAAGGACAAAAATTCTCTCTCCTACTTTTTCGTCCGTGAACCCATCCCACCACACCTCACTCTCCCCCGCATGCATCTCACTCTTGGTGTACTTGTGTTCAGTTCAACTATAGACCCCCAAGTCAATAGTTACACAGGATTTGATCTCTTGGTAAAAAAAATGTATATTTATATTTATGTAGCTAAGGAAAACCAAAAGACCACATGGTATAATAACTAGAACTATTTTTTTTGTCATCAACGCGGGAAGAATTCCAGCGCCCTGAGGCCCTCCAGGCCTCTACTACTATTTGATTTGATTGCTACTGCTGGATCTCAGCGATAGTTTCAGAACTTGTTTGAGCTAGCAAGCAGATACTCCTATCCTATCTCGGTTTCGGTTTCGGAGCTGAAGTGTCCTCTCTCTATTTTTTTTTTGAGAGAGAGAGAGGACGGAGCTGAACTGTGTGAGAATTGCGATTCTCCTACACCATCATTGTGGTCTGGGACCTCAGTGATCCATTCTAGGCGACCTCGCTGCCCGTGTCTGGGACAGAGAGCTTATTTACTGCTGGCGGGTTTGGTACGAGAGAAAAATACTGTTCCTGGCTGTAAATTTACGATCGTTTACGACCAAGCGAACAGGGCTCGGGGAGGAAGAAGGAGACGGCCGGGATATAAAGGGGTACCTTTAGTCCCGGTTGGTGACTTCAACCGGGACTAAAGGTAACTTTCCAACCCCCGGCGTAGCCACGGCCCGGGAGTAGACCTTTACTCCCGGTTGGAGCCACCAACCGGGAGTAAAAGTCTACCTTTAGTTCCGGTTGGTGGCTCCAACCGGGACTAAAGGTCCCTGCCATCTCTATCTGGCGCAGTAGCCGTTGGGCAGGGATCTTTAGTCCCGGTTGGATCTACCAACCGGGACTAAAGGTCTCTCTAGTCCCGGGTGTAAAAAAATGCCGAGACTAGAGCTCATTTTAGCCGAGGATTAAAGATCTGTTCTCTACTAGTGAATGATGACACCGGTAAAGCTGACAAATTATAGGCAGGAGAAATATGAAGTATTAAATATGCAATTATATATATGTGTGCAAAAAGAATACAATGAGGTGCATGTTAAAATACAGAGTTACCAATAATGCTTCCAGATCAATATGTGATTATGGCTATATTTATTAATTTTCTCCACTAAGGCTAATTCTAGCACCTTTCAGTGCACCTTTCAGTTATTCATAAAACTCTTTAAAGGGATAGGGTTAGTTAATATAAATGGTCTGGGATATTTTCAGAGGCGGATGGATGAAGAGGCCCGCATCGATTTTTAGAGGTAGGCTTCTTTAGTCCCTTGCCTCTGAAAATCCTTTTATAGATGCAGGTGTTGCTTGTGCGTCTCTATGCATTAACGGAGGCAACATTTTTTCTGTCCTCTGAAATGAGTTGAGGTGCGTCCTAAGATTTTTTTTTATAGTGAATATTGATATTTTGGTGTTTAAGTAGATTTTAGAGAGTTTGTGCATAATTTTTCATAACTGAGTCCACATGTTGACAAATGAGTCTACATGTCATTGTTCATGTACAGGAAAGTATCCCTGACTATGTAAGCAGGGGCCTTTTTTTAGCTAGTACTGGTACTGGTACTACCGGTGATGCCGCTCTCATATGGGCAACTGCCCGGACTATGCTGTTGGTACCACAACTGAATATCTGATCACCCCAAATAACCAAATTAGACAGTTATGGGAGCATAAAAACAGAAACTTTCATACAACACCAAGAGACATACACAAGGGCATGCATGCAGGGAGAGGGAGGACAGAGAAACCCCTTACAAGTCGCGAGGCAGACGATCCAGACATACAAGAACTCCTTGTACGGCAGGCCCTCCTGGAGCTCCTTCCTCCGGTCGTTGCCACAGCCCGGGCAGCCCGGGTGGTAAACCTTCTCCTCCTGCAGCAATGGCGAAGTGATGCTCTCCTCCTCCATTGGCTCGCTCTTCACAGAAGAGAAGCAGGAGAGTTGCAGAGCCGCCAAGTGAACTCACGCAAGAACGCCAGGAGCGAGGTTGAATGGAGGAGGAGATTGCGATGGTGAGGCTTGGTTTGGTCTGGTGACCCGCGCCAAAGCGGTTCCGTCACGGGTTACGTCGTCGTCAGGAATTTTAATTTGCAGGAGGGACGACGAATGGATGCAAAGACGGTGTGGATTTTACTGCCACGGATCATGGATGAAGCGGCTGTGGTGTTGCACTTGTTGTCTCGCCTGCAAATAAAATAGAATTGGCTTGTTGTTAATGACCCTTGTCATCGTCGATAGAGTTTGGTCAGCGTCTCAGCCATAGTTTAATTGAGAAATAACAAAACCTCACCATCAACCGTGAGCAGGGGCGGATCGTCTAGCTAGGCGTGTTTAACTGACCCCGATTAATTAAAAAAGTTTGGTAAACTGAGAGTGGAATATCACTGACCTAGCTTAAATGGGATTGGATATATAATCCCTACCCTCCTGATGGCATCTCTTGAGCCCAACTTCAGTTTCAGAAACGAGTTCAAAAAATAAATCAGGTTCAGTTCAACTATAGACCCCCAAGTCAATAGTTACACAGGATTTGATCTCTTGGTAAAAAAAAATGTATATTTATATTTATGTAGCTAAGGAAAACCAAAAGACCACATGGTATAATAACTAGAACTTTTTTTTTGTCATCAACGCGGGAAGAATTCCAGCGCCCTGAGGCCCTCCAGGCCTCTACTACTATTTGATTTGATTGCTACTGCTGGATCTCAGCGATAGTTTCAGAACTTGTTTGAGATAGCAAGCAGATACTCCTATCCTATCTCAAAGGTTTCGGTTTCGGAGCTGAAGTGTCCTCTCTCTTTTTTTTTTTGAGGGAGAGAGAGAGAGGACGGAGCTGAACTGTCTGAGAATTGCGATTCTCCTACACCATCATTGTGGTCTGGGACCTCAGTGATCCATTCTAGGCGACCTCGCTGCCCGTGTCTGGGACAGAGAGCTAATCGATGGAGGAGGAGGAGGAGAGCGGGGTGCGGCGCTCGGGCGTTGTCTCGTCGACTTCAACGTCCTGACTCCGCTCCGGCGCCCCCTCCCCGTCCGGATTCCACGCAGCCGCCGCGCGAACGGCCAGCCATTGACAGGTAATTTACTTCAAGTGCTGAGCTTGTGAACTCTCTCCCTCCCTCCATCTCATGCTCACTCACTCCCAACTGCTTCACGCGGCGCCGGTCCGGTGCCTCGCACTGATGCACGCGCGCGTCGTTTCGTTTCTGGGCGTCTTCGCATGTGTTCTCAGAAACATAATGACTTTAAGCTATAGTGAGGACCAGTTCTCCGGGCTATCCACCAAGCTCACTCAGGCAGCTTCCAAGTAACTTCATTGCAGAATCACAGGCAGCTGCTCTAGGAGGGACAACTAGTAGTGGTGGGTAGGTGACATCACGACCGAGGGACAACTAGTAGTGGTGGGTAGGTAGTGGTGGGTAGGTGACATCACGACCTAGTGTTCGGAGGCCACAGCTCCTTTGTCACTGGGCCCACATGTCATTGAGTCGGGTGGACCTACATGTCATTCACTGAAGTGGCCATCATTACCATTGAGCAGCGTTGAGTTCAGATATTAGTGCAGTTGTGCACCTAACCTCCCATCCCATCCATTGTCTTGTACTTACCGCAAAGCTATTCAGCAAACAAGACCAGTCTCTCCGCCCTCTTCCTGCTTCCTCACTGAGAGATGATGGGGGTGGTGGATGCTTCCATAGGGTGGCTGGTGCAAACCATCCTTGGGAGACTCTTCAATGAACAGATCGAAGCCTGGGCTCGTGGTGTTGGGCTTGACGAAGATGTGGAGAACCTCAAGTCTGAGATGAGGAACGTGCAGATAAGGATGAAAACGGTCGAACTCGGTCGAAAAACTCCTCAACCGTTTTCTACTTTTACATTTGAAATACGAAAGCGAAAACGAAAGCGGACAAGCCGGACACGAAAACGAACACGAACTTACGGAATATCTAGAATTTCAGAAACGAACCAATTCGAGCGGAATTATGTCGAACACGGTCGGTATGCGAAAATTCAATACGAAATACCGACCCATAGTGCATAGCATTAAACAAGTGCACAACCAAATACATAACAAGTTCACAACTAACAAGTGCATGATCTAGTTCAAGTGCATAGCATTAAACAAGTGCACGACCAAATACATAACAAGTCTAGAACAAGCAATTAACAGAACATGAACGTCTACAGTTCATCAGCATCATCCATGATGTCAGGAATAGGATCACTTTCCATGTCTTTTTCTTCCTCATTGTCCTCCTCAGCGTCCTCTTCCCCCTCCTTGTTATTGTCCTACAAGTTTACAAAGTGAATTAAAATTAGATGTAGCAACTAGCCACTAGCATGGCACTAATCACTTTGGTCTCCATCTGTGTTCTGTGTCGCTCCCAAACATTCATCTCGGTTGAGACTGAATGACAACTTGGTTTATGGAGAGTGTTGGTCTCATTGATAGAGTTCCACTCAATTCTAATCAATCAATGACAACTGCTCCCAAGAAAGGGCCCTAGTAAATGGAATCTCAGATAGCCTTGCCCAGGTTTGGATAAGATGCATTGAGAACTACCACAGTGCCACTCGAAGACATTACAGCAGCTACTTCTTGACCATGGGAAACTAGTATCAAACAGGCAATTTGAGGGTAAGCATGTCTTATGTTTTTCACTTTTTCTTGCTATCAACATGGAATATCTTTAAGTGGGTTACTTATCATTTATCGCTTTGCGTCACTAAGATGCTCATACTACTTTCTCTCGAAAGCAAAATACGTGGTCCTCATTGATTAGTCTTTTTTTTATGTTTTGTAATACACTTAAGATTTCATCTTCAGACATGTGATTCAAGTCTGTAAGAAGTATGTCAGCGGTATCCACAAAGATTGAAATAAATGCATCTCTCAAAGTTGAAATTGAGTTAAATTCTCCATATGGCCCAGTATTTTAAATGGTTGGCTACCTATTCTCTGTTATTGAGTTATAATCTTCATTTTCATATCTCAGAAGCAGCAATTCAGCAGCAGGGAGCAGCAAAGCAATTAGCATATTTCATAGCAAGTAGTCAATAAACGTATTTCAATTTTCAGCTTAGCCACAACATTAGTCAAAGCATCAACCTCAAGATCACTCACAATTGATCCAACCATTTTAGAATCTGAACAAAAAATAGAAAGGAAAAAATCAAAGCATTATTTTCCTTCAATTACAAGTGTGTAACTGAAAAAACAGCTAAGAATGAGCACCTTTATTTGCTGCAAAGAACCCAATCCTTTGTGCAAATTAATGCCCGTACCATCTCGTGGATCAAGACGACTACGATAGGGATCAACAACACGACCAAAGCAAAGCACTAAAGGCGGACTCGGATGCTACTGTTGATACTTGTACAGCCATTACATCCCTAACAATTTGTGAAAGGATAGGATACTCTTCTCTCTGTTTTTCCACCACGCTAAGATGTCAAACTCACCAACAATTTTCAGTAGTGGTTCCAACATATACCTCTCCAAATCATTTGACTCAACCACAGCAGGTTCACTTGCATCATATAAGAATTCTTCTAGGTCATGGTCTCAGATTTCCCATTAATACATCGATGTGTTACTAGGTGCAGTACATGTGGGTGCAACCACTTCACTAGTTGTCTTTGATGATGCATGAGCAGAACTAATATTATAAAAGTTGTACAGCTTTACCACACTAATAAACTCATCAAGTTCAATTTTGATAATGAACCCCATGGAACTTCTTCATGTAGTACTCTATGAGCCTTTTCTTATACCTAGGATCAAGAAAACAGGCTACAGCCTAGAGCAATGTTGGACTGCTCCCCAATATTTCTCAAATTTTGCACTCATAGCAACCTGCCATTTCTCTAATTGTAGCATCTTCACTAAAGCACCAGTCATCAAGCAAGACTTTTATATCACGAAACCTCTATAGAATAAGTTTGCAGAGGATATGAAGTGCCGAGAGAATTTCAAAGAGATCATAAAATTTCTTCAAGCAACCATAAATTGTCAATGCATTGTCCCATTCATCGGAAGATGGAGAAATTGTGGCATACCTACGCCGATTTGAAGACTTCAGCCTAATAAATGCATGCATCCTTGTAGTACAAGGCATCTCTCAACATTAGATAGGTAGAGTTCCACCTTGTTGAAACATCCATTTGAATACCCTCTTTGTATCCAACCCAGCTTGGTGGCACGCTTCATAAGCTCTTCCCAATCGCAATGGAGACCCTTTCACGCCTAGTACAAAGTGATTTGACCTTGCTTGAGTGTTCCCGAAATGACTTTCAACCCATCTCTAGCAACCAAATTGAGAATATGGCAGTACATCTAACATGAAAAACATCCCATCACACACTAGGGAACCATTAGCATTCTCTTTCAGATCTGAAATAATATCATTGATGTACCACTTCATTTGAACTAGCATTATCCAAAGTCAAAGCAAATAGTCTATTTTCAATGTACCATTTAACCATAACTTCAAAGAATGTCTCGCATAACTTTGCACCAAGATGCCTACCTTTTACATTGAAGAAACCAATAATTCTCTTTTGCATACGCCAACTATCATCTATCCAATGAATTGTAACACACATGTATCCTTTGTTTTGGCACGAGGTCCACATATCCATTGTTGCACTAAAGCGGCAATTCATAGTTTTCAAGAGTGCATACAGAGTTTCTTTTTCTTGGAAATAATTGTCCATTATTCCTTTCCTAACAAAGGACACGAGATTTTATCTCCAAAGCTAGGACGGAGAGATTTTATGAAATCAATAAGATACTCATGCTCAACTATATTGAAAGGATATTCATGCATGGTTATTGCCAAATTCAATTTCTTCAAGCTAGCTTCTTGGTCATATTTGAAAGGTCAAACATGAGTCGCTACAAACCGTGGTTCTTACCAACTTTAAGTCGTTGTTGTCCCTTCACAAGATCTGTGTTTTGACTTCAAATGGTTCTTGAATGCAATGTCCCATGGACGCCTCACCAGACCTCTGATCACACCTAACTAAATTGCAGATCCCCAAATCTCCTCAATCTGCTTTCCTTCCACCTCTACATACTCCTTTTTCTTGGTGAAATAATTCCGCACCCACGATGTGCATTTCTTGTACCTCTTGCCAGAAAGGTGAGCCTCCTCTTCATCCTCACCTTCCTCTGGGTCATCATTGTCAACATTTGGAGTTGTGGTTGTTGCTGGTGCACAAGCGGGTCCAGCGCCACTGCCAGTGCAACTAGTGTCAAAATTTGGAGCACAAGAACCCATCACTAAGGATGAAAACGGTCGAACTCGGTCGAAAAACTCCTCAACCGTTTTCTACTTTTACATTTGAAATACTGCGAAACGAAGCGGACAAGCCGGACACGAAAACGAACACGAACTTACGGAATATCTAGAATTTCGAAACGAACCAATTCGAGCGGAATTATAATTTAACACGGTCGGTATCGCGAAAATTCAATACGAAATACCGACCCATAGTGCATAGCATTAAACAAGTGCACAACCAAATACATAACAAGTTCACAACTAACAAGTGCATGATCTAGTTCAAGTGCATAGCATTAAACAAGTGCACCACCAAATACATAACAAGTCTAGAACAAGCAATTAATGTAACATGAACGCTCACAGCTCATCAAAGATCATCCATGATGTCGTGAATAGGATCACTTTCCATGTCTTTTTCTTCCTCATTGTCCTCCTCAAATGGTCCTCTTCCCCTCCTTGTTATTGTCCTACAAGTTTACAAAGTGAATTAAAATTAGATGTAGCAACTAGCCACTAGCATGGCACTAATCACTTTGGTCTCCATCTGTGTTCTCAGTGTCGCCTCCCAAACATTCATCTCGGTTGAGACCGAATGACAACTTGGTTTATGGAGAGTGTTGGTCACGCCGAGAGTTCCACTCAATTCTAATCAATCAATGACAACTGCTCCCAAAGAAAGGGCCCTAGTAAATGGAATCTCAGATAGCCTTGCCTGTGTTTGGATAAGATGCATTGAGAACTACCACAAGGCCACTCAAGACATTACAGCAGCCTACTTCTTGACCATGGGAAACTAGTATCAATCGTGCAATTTGAGGGTAAGCATGTCTTATGTTTTTCACTTTTCTTGCTATCAACATGGAATATCTTTAAGTGGGTTACTTATCATTTATCGCTTGTCACACTAAGATGCTCATACTACTTTCTCTCGAAAGCAAAATACGTGGTCCTCATTGATTAGTCTTTTTTTATGTTTTGTAATACACTTAAGATTTCATCTTCGCACATGTGATTCAAGTCTGTAAGAAGTATGTCAGCGGTATCCACAAAGATTGAAATAAATGCATCTCTCAAAGTTGAAATTGAGTTAAATTCTCCATATGGCCCAAAGATTTTAAAATGGTTGGCTACCTATTCTCTCATTATTGAGTTATAATCTTCATTTTCATATCTGAGAAGCAAAGAATTCAAAGCAAGGAGGAGCAGCAGCAATTAGCATATTTCATAGCAAGTAGTCAATAAACGTATTCAATTTTCAGCTTAGCCACAACATTAGTCAAAGCATCAACCTCAAGATCACTCACAATTGATCCAACCATTTTAGAATCTGAACAAAAAAATAGAAAGGAAAAAATCAAAGCATTATTTTCCTTCAATTACAAGTGTGTAACTGAAAAAACAGCTAAGAATGAGCACCTTTATTTGCTCAAAGAACTCAATCCTTTGTGCAAATTAATGCCTGTACCATCTCGTGATCAAGACGACTACGATAGGGATCAACAACACGACCAGCAGCACTAAAGGCGCACTCGGATGCTACTGTTGATACTTGTACAGCCATTACATCCCTAACAATTTGTGAAAGGATAGGATACTCTTCTCTCTTGTTTTTCCACCACGCTAAGATGTCAAACTCACCAACAATTTTCAGTAGTGGTTCCAACATATACCTCTCCAAATCATTTGACTCAACCACAAAGAGTTCACTTGCATCATATAAGAATTCTTCTAGGTCATGGTCTGTATTTCCCATTAATACATCGATGTGTTACTAGGTGCAGAGCACGTGGGGTGCAAATTTACTTCACTAGTTGTCTTTGATGATGCATGAGCGTAACTAATATTATAAAAGTTGTACGCTTTCTTTACCACACTAATAAACTCATCAAGTTCAGCTTGATAATGAACCCCATGGAACTTCTTCATGTAGTACTCTATGAGCCTTTTCTTATACCTAGGATCAAGAAAACAAAGCTGCACTAGAGCAATGTTGGACTGCTCCCAATATTTCTCAAATTTTGCACTCATAGCAACTGCCATTTCTCTAATTGTAGCATCTTCACTAAAGCACCAAATCATCAAGCAAGACTTTTATATCACGTAAACCTCTATAGAATAAGTTTGCGAGAGGGATATGAAGTGCCGAGAGAATTTCAGTGAGATCATAAAATTTCTTCAAGCAACCATAAATTGTCAATGCATTGTCCCATTCATCAGAAGATGGAGAAATTGTGGCATACCTACGTCGATTTGAAGACTTCAGCCTAATAAATGCATCCTTGTAGTACAAGGCATCTCTCAACATTAGATAGGTAGAGTTCCACCTTGTTGAAACATCCATTTGAATACCCCTCTTTGTATCCAACCCAGCTTCGGTGGCACGCTTCATAAGCTCTTCCCACTGCAATGGAGACCCTTTCACAGCTAGTACAAGTGATTTGACCTTGCTGAGTGTTCCTGAAATGACTTTCAACCCATCTCTAGCAACCAAATTGAGAATATGGCAGGCACATCTAACATGAAAAAACATCCCATCACACACTAGGGAACCATTAGCATTCTCTTTCAGATCTGAAATAATATCATTGACAGCCACTTCATTTGAACTAGCATTATCCAAAGTCAAAGCAAATAGTCTATTTTCAATGTACCATTTAACCATAACTTCAAAGAATGTCTCGCATAACTTTGCACCAAAGATGCCTACCTTTTACATTGAAGAAACCAATAATTCTCTTTTGCATACGCCAACTATCATCTATCCAATGAATTGTAACACACATGTATCCTTTGTTTTGGCACGAGGTCCACATATCCATTGTTGCACTAAAGCGGCAATTCATAGTTTTCAAGAGTGCATACAGAGTTTCTTTTTCTTGGAAATAATTGTCCATTATTCCTTTCCTAACAGTGACACGAGATTTTATCGGAAAGCTAGGACGGAGAGATTTTATGAAATCAATAAGATACTCATGCTCAACTATATTGAAAGGATATTCATGCATGGTTATTGCCAAATTCAATTTCTTCAAGCTAGCTTCTTGGTCATATTTGAAAGGTGAACATGAGTCGCTATGTAACCGTGGTTCTTACCAACTTTAAGTCGTTGTTGTCCCTTCACAAGATCTGTTTTTGACTTCAAATGGTTCTTGAATGCAATGTCCCCATGGACGCCTCACTCTGTACTCTGATCACACCTAGCTTAAATTGCAGTATCCCCAAATCTCCTCAATCTGCTTTCCTTCCACCTCTACATACCCCTTTTTCTTGGTGAAATAATTCCGCACCCACGATGTGCATTTCTTGTACCTCTTGCCGTAAAGGTGAGCCTCCTCTTCATCCTCACCTTCCTCCTCGGGTCATCATTGTCAACATTTGAGTTGTGGTTGTTGCTTTGGTGCACAAGCGGGTCCAATATACCACCGCCAAAGGCAACTAGTGTCAAAATTTGGAGCACAAGAACCCATCACCGACACGGATGTCAAGCATCGATGCTTCAGTAGTTGGACTTTCACAAGTTCCACTAGGGCTAATACTCCGAGATGCGCACCTTTTGCCCCTTGATCCTGCCAAGAGCCAATTGAAACATTGCTAAATCAAGCATGCCGATCCCAAATAATCAAGCAAAATGTCGTGAAAATTTGATTGTTTTAGGAAATGCAAGGGTATCAACCACCGTAATACATTGATAGAGGTGAAATCTCGTGAAAATTTGACATATTCAGCTTGGGTGTCGAATAATAAAGATAGTGTCGAGACTCGAGAGCTACTCCAAATGTCTATACATGCCTTCAGATGAGTTTATTGATCAAGTGAGAAATAATATACTTATGAATATGAAAATATTTTAATCTAATATCGTGTCATTTTACATCGTAAAAGTATCAAGAAGCACCTTTACATCGTAAAAGTATCAAAGAATCTAATATTGTGTCACAAGGGGGCACAGGAACATAGCATTGTCTTCTGACCGGAAGTATACATGGGATCTTATGCTTGAACACCACACAAACTCGTAAACTCGTAAATTTCGCTCACACAATCCTCGATTCCTCAAAACCTAAAACTGAGTACAATACATTCTCAAAATGAACTGTCCAGCCTTGAAATACGTTAAATCTTATCAGCAAGCACACATCAACTCGCAAAACATTCACAGCCCACCTCATAGGATGCGACACAGCTTACGCTCACCATGTATCAAGCTAACTACAAACCCACAAGAACAAGCGGTCAAGCACCGCATTCAAGAAACGGCTAAAATCAAAGGTCGGGGTCCTAAGGGTCTTAAGCCTCACGAAAAAATTGAACCTTTGCCTCGCAGCTCTCCCAAATCGCACGCCACATCCTCTCAAAAGAATCAAGAAAATCAAAGAGCAGCACAAGCAATCCTTAGTACGTAAGAGATGAATCAAGACTGCGCCGGAGAGAGGAGAAAGTCGTTGTCGCCAAAGCTGCCGGCCATGCGCAAGAAGGTGGCGACGCTCTGGTCTTATTCTTGCCCTTGCTCTTCGCTCCAGGAGCGTAAACACCTCCTCCAAGGGCGCCATCGATGGGCGGAGTGGCGGGCGCCTTCTGGGTCGCGTCGGCCTTGGTGCCGGGCGGCGCCCCGCTCCGGTCTTCGGCGCCATCACGAATCGAGAGAGAGAGAGAGAGAGAGAGAGAAAGAGGGAGAGAAGCAGAGGTGAGGGAGGGAGCTCAGTTGGCGGTGGTGGTCCTGGACGGCGAGGCGCCGAGCTCCGGTTTAGCGAGGCGGAGAGAGAGAGGAAGCGAGAGTGAAGAGAGAGCCGGGCACCGGCAGGGTAGTGGTGCTCGGTGTGAGGGAAGCAGAGCACCGGGCGATGGTGGAGCCGTGGAGGAGAGGCAGGGGAGCGGCGGTCCGGCGGTGGGGCGAGTCGGGGACTCAGGGCGCCGCCAGCGCCAGAGAATAGGGAGGGGAGGAGATGGGGAGCGAATGGGATTACTGGATTAGGGTTGTCTAACTTGGGTCATTTGGCCGTGGGTCAGTATCGCTATGCAATCGAAAGTGTTGGACCAAATTCGTTCGAATCAATTTTGAATTCGGATATTCCAATTAAAAGTAGAAAAGTAGAAATCGGTCGAACAAAGCCTAAACCGAATTCGATCCGATTTCGAATTTGGTGTTCCGAATTTCGAATTCGAATTTAATATTCCGTATTTTGTCCGAAAATACGAATTCGCTCGGGTCAAATGTAGAAAACGATGCGGTTCGGTTCGGGATATTTCCTTTCCGTTTTCATCCTTACCCATCACTGACACGGATGCTGCTACTGATGCTTCTGTAGTTGGACTTTCACAAGTTCCACTAGGGCTAATACTCTGAGATGCAGACCTTTTGCCCCTTGATCCTGCCAAGAGCCAATTGAAACATTGCTAAATCAGTGCATGCCGATCCCAAATAATCAAGCAAAATGTCAGGAAAATTTGATTGTTTTTAGGAAATGCAGTGGGTATCAACCACCAGAATACATTGATAGAGGTGAAATCTCAGGAAAATTTGACATATTCAGCTTGGGTGTCGTAATAATAAAGATAGTGTCAGGACCTGAGAGCTACTCCAAATGTCTATACATGCCTTCAGATGAGTTTATTGATCAAGTGAGAAATAATATACTTATGAATATGAAAATATTTTAATCTAATACTGTGTCATTTTACATCAGAAAAGTATCAGCAAGCACCTTTACATCAGAAAAGTATCAGCAATCTAATATTGTGTCACAAGGGGGCACAGGAACATAGCATTGCTGCTGACCGAAGTATACATGGGATCTTATGCTTGAACACCACACAAACTCAGAAACTCAGAAATTTCGTTCACACAATCCTGATTCCTGAAACCTAAAACTGAGTACAATACATTCTCAAAATGAACTGGTCCAGCCTTGAAATACGTTAAATCTTATCAGCAAGCACACATCAACTGCAAAACATTCACAGCCCACCTCATAGGATGCGACACAGCTTACGTTCACCATGTATCAAGCTAACTACAAACCCCGCGCAACAAGCAGTCAAGCACCGCATTCGAAGAAACGAAGCTAAAATCAAAGGTCGGGGTCCTAAGGGTCTTAAGCCTACGAAAAATTGAACCTTTGCCTGCAGCTCTCCCAAATCGCACGGCCACATCCTCTCAAAAGAATCAAGAAAAATCAAAGAGCAGCACAAGCAATCCTTAGTACAGAAGGAGATGAATCAGTACCTGGCGCTGGAGAGGGAGAAGCTGTTGCTGCCAAAGCTGCCGGCGGCGCAAGAAGGTGGCGCACGCTCTTGGTCTTATTCTTGCCCTTGCTCTTCGTTCCAGGAGCAGAAACACCTCCTCCAGTGGGCGCCATCGATGGGCGGAGTGGCGGCGCTGCTGGGTCGTCGGCCTTGGTGCCGGCGGCGCCCCGCTCCGGTCTTCGGCGCCGTCACGAATCGAGAGAGAGAGAGAGAGAGAGAGAGAAAGAGGGAGAGAAGCAGAGGTGAGGGAGGGAGCTCAGTTGGCGGTGGTGGTCCTGGACGGCGAGGCGCCGAGCTCCGGTTTAGCGAGGCGGAGAGAGAGAGGAAGCGAGAGTGAAGAGAGAGCCGGGCACCGGCAGGGTAGTGGTGCTCGGTGTGAGGGAAGCAGAGCACCGGGCGATGGTGGAGCCGTGGAGGAGAGGCAGGGGAGCGGCGGTCCGGCGGTGGGGCGAGTCGGGGACTCAGGGCGCCGCCAGCGCCAGAGAATAGGGAGGGGAGGAGATGGGGAGCGAATGGGATTACTGGATTAGGGTTGTCTAACTTGGGCTGGGCCGTAGTGGGCTGTACTGCTATGCAATCGAGTGCTGGACCAAATTCGGTTCGAACCGAATTTTGAATTCGGGATATTCCGAATTAAAAGTAGAAAAGTAGAAATCGGTCGAACAAAGCCTAAACCGAATTCGATCCGATTTCGAATTTGGTGTTCCGAATTTCGAATTCGAATTTAATATTCCGTATTTTGTCCGAAAATACGAATTCGCTCGGGTCAAATGTAGAAAACGATGCGGTTCGGTTCGGGATATTTCCTTTCCGTTTTCATCCTTACGTGCAGATGGTGCTTGCTGCAGCCGAGGGGAGGAGGATTGACAACAAGCCACTGGCCCGGTCCCTGGATGACCTCAAAGGGCTGCTTTATGATGCCGAAGATGTGATGGACGAGCTCGACTACTACCGCCTCCAACAACAGATCGAACAAGGTACCTCACTCAGATCATGGATGTCCTGTACTAGTGTTCCATGTTTCTTGCCTTACTTCTGCCTTTTACAAATTGTCATGCCTACTTAGTCTTCTGTTTATCCTGCTACTGAGTTTATCTCTCTTGGTTAATTGTGGTTTCTTTTAGATCTTCAAAGGGCGCTAATGTGTCAAAAAAAAAACTGACCCATGCCGTGGATTCGGCTTGTAATCGGATCGTTTCTTCTATCTTAATATAATGATGCGCAGTTCTGATGCGTGCTCGAGAAAAAAATGTGATTCCTTTTCACATGCCTTAACTTGTGCCAATTGTTAGCTGTTTCAAAGTAATGGCTGTTTTTTCTTGAGTGCCTTTCTTTTGCTTGTTCACGTAACAACTGCCAATTTGCTTACGCAGGGGATGGTTGTACGAATCCTGAGAAGAGGCCTGCGTCTTCTCCATCTATTTTTCAACGAGCATGTAGTACTGCGAGCCGAGTTATTAGTTCGGCCTTGCATGGAGGAAAAAGGAAGAGAGAGGAGGAGCCAAGTCATTGCACCAAGCTGCCTTATGATATTCAATTTGACATTTCTGAGAGGATCAAGGGGATAGTAAATTGT